CTGGCGGCACAGAGTTCAGGGGAATTTCCCTCAGAGACGCCTAGGGGGACAGAGCCTCCTGTGGCTCTCAAGTAGGAGGGGGCGGGGGACAGACAAAGGTAGTTCAGAGCCCTCCCTCACCCCTGGGCTCCAGGGAGAGGAAGGGCGGGAAGCAGTCGCTATCCCAGAACCGCAGAGGTACAAGCCTGCTGTCCCCAGCCAAGGCAGAGGGCCCCCAGCCCTGGGATGGTGGGGGTCGGGACTGAATTGTTCTGTGTGTGAGATCTGAGCTCCGAGGCAACAGTGTTAGCACAATAAAGAAGCTTAAAGATGACACCTAGGTGGCTGTCCCGCGCATTCCTCGGAGGGCTGGGCCTGGGGTGGGGAACCCCGACAAGTTGTTCCTTACTGCTTTGCCTTCTATCTGAATTCTCTGCTTCCCCTTCCTGTAGGGAAAGCCACAGCTGGCAGGGGACAGCCAGTCCTATTCCTTCACAGCACACATGGGAAACTGAGGTCCTTCAGAACGGACTTTAAAATTCCAAACCCGTGTTTCCCTTTTTACTCTAGGAGAGGGGACAAGTGTGGGGGTGGGCGGATGTTAGAGATGACTTCTACACGGTCCCCGACCATTCTCAGCACCCTCTTTTCTCCATCCACCTACCTAATCCGAAATTCTTTATCTCGCCCAGGTGTATGCCTGCCTTCCTTTCCAGCAGCCAGGAAGGGCTCTAAAGTCATTCAGACTCTGGAATAGGAACCGCTGAGGAGATCTAGCTCAGCCCTGTCATTCACGGGAAGGTTAAGTTTATTAGACAACCACTAAGTGCCAGGTGCTTCCAAATGCTTTCTTTTTACTTACCTCTTAACATTAGTTCTGGGACGCTGTGCATCACCCCCAAAAGGAACTGAGGTTCAGGGGAAGTAAGTATCTCAATCAAGGCAAAAAGGGGGAGGGGCACGCTAACTCAGGATTCGGTCTAGGCATATTTGACTCCAGGACACCAGGCTGTTCTCTGATAGGTGAATTCCTTCTATGCCATTCCTGGTGAGGGCTGTCCCAAATCCCTCTTGCCTACCTTCAGTGGCAGTTCACTGCCTCTCTAAACATGAGCCTTTGGTTGTGAAGATCTCATAGGTATTTCTTCTATTGCCTGTGTGTACCTTTTATTCTTTGGTCCCAGATCTCTCTGTGGGGAGCCCAGAGCATCATATTTCCAGCCAATGCCTCTAGCGGACCACATGGTTGTATTCCTCACAGGACATCTGTCTGGTGTTAGTGGGTTAAGGGATCTCCTCGTCTTCCTTCTCCTGTTCTAGGGCAACATAAAGTAGGTATGCATAAGGCTTAGAGCATCCTGTTTGGTAGTAAATAACCTGGAAACTTCTGAGATGACTTGGGGTTTGTCCAGGGGTGGTGGTGTTACCATCTTGGCAAGACAGATGAGAGAGAATGAATGCCGGGACAAAGGGAATCAAAGACCCCACTAGGAACTGGGGGCTGGACATTGGGGGTGTATAAAGATGAAGGGGGAAGAAAGTTAGGGAGGGAGTTGAGACTTCCAGAAGCCAGCAATCATTTGCTCATGTTTATGAGAGCCTTTCAGATGACTTATTCATAGATAGAGTTAGCTTTCCAGCAGGGCACTGTGCCAGGCACACTTTTGCCCTCAGGCAGGTGACTGATGAAACCGACTTGAGGAAGAGGTGTTCCCACTCTGAGGGACTGCCAGCCCAGCCTTCTGTGGGGTGGTGAGGGGTTGAGGCAGCCATGTGGCTTACTTGCTATGTTGAATGGCATCCTTTTACACCATTCTGGGAGTAGGGGAGCCATGTTTAGACTCAGTGTTCACTTGAGCAGCGACAATTGTGAGGCTCGGGCAACAACCACTATTAGGGCCAGTCAACTGGGAAGCCAGGGGAATTTCTTTTCTTTGTTTCCTTTGTTTTTTTATATTTGAATGTTTTTCATTTTACATGTTAGCCCCAGTTTCCCCTTCCTTCCCTTCTCCCTTTTCCCCACTCCCATCCACTCCTCAGAGGGGGTAAGGCCTCCCTTGGAGAGTCAACAAAGTCTGATATACCAAGTTGAGGCAGGATCAAACCTCTCCCCACTGTATCAAGAATGAGCAATGTATCCTTCCATAGGAAATGGGCTCCAAAAAGCCAGTTCATGCACCCAGGATAAGTCCTGGTCCTACTGCCAGGGTGCCCCCCAACAGATCAAGCCACATGACTGTCACTCACATTCAGAGGGCTTAGTTTGGTTGCAAGGGGAGTTTCTAAGTGTATACAGTGAGGGAAGCTTATTTTTCAACAATTGATTTTACTACAAGAACATCTGGGTCTTTCCTTCTCATTTCTTCTGCTTGTAACCTGTTTGGTGTGGGAGGAGGGCACATATGGTGGTGTAGGGGAAGCTGTAGCCATGCCTACTTAGGGGCTGGCTACAGGTGTGCCTGCCAACGCTTTCGAGGGCGTGGTCAGGATGAAGTAGAGTGAGACTTGAAGGGGACTGCGTCTCTGTTAACCCTTTTGGCTTGCCTACAGACCCGCTGCCACGCCGCCTGGCTAGGTTGCTCTGTAAGTAAGGCTTTTCCCTATTAAATACCCTTATATTTCCACTTGGCTCTGTATTGGTAATTTCCCATTATATGGTGGTGCACATTCAACAATGAATTTGGGGGTGAGCTGGACTGGGGTGGAGGTCGTGGCAGCTTTGATTTGTGGCATTTTTTATCTTCTGTGACATAAATTCTCAAGCTGCCACGTGATGTTAGTGGCATGGGGTTGGGAGACATATTCCATATAATATACCATTGTACTGTTCCACAATTCAAATACAGTAGAAAAAAATAAAGAAATAAAAAAGATTGGTAGTGAAATAACCAAAGGTAGTGAGGTTTCTAGTTCTTAGCATCCCTATTTTGATACAATCATTTGATTGTACATTTCTAGGATTTACTTTCCATCCATTGTTGGATAGCTGGGTTGCCAAATTTAGGTGGGCCATATTACTGTGCTTGCTAGTCAGCTTTGATTCATTATGACAAATTCCTGAGATAAGAATTTTGAAAGAGGAAAAGCTGATTTTGACTCACAGTGTTGGAGATTTCTGCTCGTGGTTGCTTCCTCACCTTTAGGCCTTTGCTGAGACAGCACATAGTTGTGAAAGCACAGCGGAGGAAGAGGCTCATTCCCTCAAGCTGGAAAGCAAAGAGAAAAGGCTTGAGGAGGGATTGGGCATGCCTCAGATGTCTTAACTTCCTTCCACAAGTTCCACTTTCCCCCAAAAGTGGCAGAGAGCGAAGTCAAGCACATAAAACCCAGGACTTTGGTGGTCACTAATCTAGACTGCAATGCCAGGTAAACAGCTGGCTAGGCCCAGACGCTGCCTCTAAGGGACATCTTAAAAACAGTTCTCATTTACTGCTGTCTGTCTCTCCAGAGACTCAAATAGCACAAAATCACCTATTTCCATTCCTCTTTCTGGTTCTGTGTTTTGCACCTCTTCCCAACCTTGCCAGGACTGAATTCTAGTTCTTTAGGTCATTGAAGAATTAGTAGATAATCGACATCTCCTTGGTAACACACCCCGCTCTCTTGATAGCTATCAGAAACTCAATTCGGCATCCTCAAGATTTTCATGAATTATGCCTTCCAGCACATCTGATGGTGGGTTGTCTCTGCTGGACATGCTTCTGAGTCTTCACCTACTCAGCCCCTCTGATTTCCCTCACCTTAGAAAAACACAGAGTCAATTCTCTAGCCTGTGGGTAGGAAGAAGCCTGTGCATTGCCTGCTTATCTCTCAGAGGGTAACCATGGCTATGCAGGGTGACCATTGCACTTTTATTACCCTAGGTCAAGTCTAGGTCCAGCCAAACTCACTCTCACTGTGTTTCTCTGTGTCTCTCTC